TGATCCAGACACAAAATCATATCATCAGTATATTTTATTTTTCATCGGGACATTATAATCTACATCCAGACACACACATACACCTTTCTTTTTTTTTAGTTATTCATGGTTTCTGATAACAAGGTGTTGTCAATAGGGGGAGAAGATAGTAAGAAAAATTCAAAAGAAAAGATTCCATAATGAATATAATTTTTTTTCTGTATTTTCAGAGATAAGAAAATAATATAGCCCAGTTTTCATTTATTCACATTCTCATTCAGTCTTTATTTTTTTTTCAACACATCTATTCATAATGAATGATGATATTAGAAGATTTCTTTCATTTTTTTTTATTTTGTTCTTTAAACACAATAGCTTTATAAGAATTTTTTTTTTGAATATTTCAAGCTTAATTTAACCTGAATTCTTCTTCTTTTTTTTTATAGGGAAAGAATATTCATAAATATTCTCTATCAAAGAGTAAGAGTAATGTAAATAAGAAAGTGAAGAAAGTGAAGAAAAAATTCATTTAAATTAGACAATTTATATGGATTCCATATCTATCTTATCTATCTACTTTTTGTTTTGACTTTTCATCTTTTTTCTGTTGTTGTTGTTTGATGATGGATGTGTGTGTGTGTTTGGAAAGATTACTTATACTTTTTCCCCATAATATTATGATGTAAATGAAGCTTTGAAAAATAATATCTTTTGAAAGTAAGTAATCCTGATTCCAGAATCAACAACAACAACAACAACAAATTATAGTTTATAAACATTGAAGGAATTTGTCTTGAATTTATGAATGAATGAATTCAAAAATTGTGATGATTTTTTCTGATCCCTGAGAATCTTAGAATGCTGATGATAATGATTATCATTGGTAAATTATATATTTGAATCTTGTTTCAAAAAAAAAAAAATTGTCACTGAATTTACCATATAATTGAATATTTATGTTGTGATGATAATGACAATAACAGAACAGTTGAATTGTAAACTGTAAAACTAAACAATTCAAGCGGAATTAACAACGAAAAAACAAAAAAAAAACCTTTCAAAACAAAAAACATTTATTTTCAATGTTGTTGTTGTTGTTGTTGTCAACAATTTTGAATTCTTAAATCACAATTCAAAATAATAAACCAAAATAAATATAATGATCAATCTGAATTTTGTTTTTTGTTTTCGTTTTTCTGTTTTGTAGATCGGATAATCAATTGTTTGAATTGAATTTGAAAATAATTGTTGTCATCATCCAATCCAGGTTTTTGTGATTGTGACATGTTCGATGAACGAAAACGAAAAAAAAAACAAAGCAAAAATTCTTTTCATCTAGAAGACTACGAAAGAAAGAGAAAACAAAGTGGAAAAGTGCACGAAAAAAAGCAACAACAACAAAAAAATAAGACTAGATAATTGAATAACATTTCAGAGACGAAACAAAACAACAACAAACGAAACGAATCGAAATGAAATGAACAAAAAATAAGAATCATAATAGAATTGTGAATTTTTTTTCCTTCTTAATTCTAAGGAAGATGTTATGTGCCAAAACGACTATAAACAACAACAACAACAAAAGCAAACATACAATCGAATTGCCTTTAATTGAATAATGCAATCAGACAATATTATCTTCTTCTTTTTTTTGTTGAAAATGTTGTTTTCGATGATGATGACGATCATGGATGATTATCATCAACACTACCATCATCATCATCATCCTGATCATCATCATGATCATCGACAATGATGGCTTGTTTGACTGTTAACAATATTTGACTGACAGACAAACAAACATTATTAAAACCGATAATAACAAGAAAAAAAAGGACCAAATTCAATTCATGTTACAGGAATTTTTTTTTTGTTTGAACAACCAGAAAATGAAAATCCAATGATAAACTGTGTGTGTGGGTGCCAATATTCAATAATCATTCGGATTTATTGATACACGATGATGATCGAAAGTTAAATCAAGTCAAACAAAAACTACAGAATCCAGAATCATGTTGTTTGGTTTATTTGGAAAATACAGTATATTTTCCGGATAAAAATACAAGATTAATATATATTAATGATGATGAACAAGTAAAGATTTCCCATTTCATCAACCATAGTCATAATCATCATCATCGAAGGAGAGAGAGAGAAAAAAATATGGAATAGGAAAGAAAAATATCTTCAGTTTTTGATTGAATCAATATTAGTTTCATATATTAAATATTGATGATGAACATTCTTTGATCAAAAAAAAACGAAAGAAGAAAAAAAAACATTGAAAAACCATTTACACCTTATATTTCATTTTTATCATCTTACATCTATCTATCTATCTATCTATATAAATGTGTTGCTGGAAGAGAGAGAATAAGCAATATCTGTCAACAAAAAAGAAGGAAAGTAGAAGTAACAATATGATTTGATGATGACAGAATATATTGATCATTTTAACATCATCAATATCAATCAATATATCTTGATCAAAGATTCAATCAAAAGACAAGAAAAAAGACAAACCAAATCATAAACTTTATCAATTTTTTTAATTACTAAAAAAAATCAAATCAAATCAAATATCATATCAATTTCAAGTTTATAGTTTGTTAGCCAGTTTTGGTTTGGTTTGAAAATAAAGAAAACCATCATCATCATCATCATTTTTTTCCTCTGTTCAATGGACAAACAATAAAATCAGATAACCGTAAAATGAATAATGAAAGAAAGAAGATGAAAAAAATATATGTGGGACACATAATTATATAGCTAGCTAGCTAGTTTTATTTTGTTTCCAAAATAAACTACCACTACGAATAATAATAGGAAAAAAAAGTAGTAAAAGAAAATTCTGTTTGAAGGCCGAATAACTTGTAAAAAGGAAGTAGTAGTTAAAGTTCTTTACTTCTTTTTTCGTCTACTAGTTCATTCTGTAAATTTTTTATTTCTGGATTCTGGACTTTGGTATTTTAGTTCATTTCAATTTTTTCAATTCTGTGTGTGTGTGTGTGTGCTTGTATTCAAGTGATCATTCATGTCTGGTACTTGATCAAAGTCAGTCAGTCAGTCAGTTAGTCATATGTGTGTGTGTGTGTGTGTCAATGGCGCCAAACAATAATAATGATTATTATTTGAATATTTTTTTTTTATTTTCAAAAATAATATTAAAGTAAACAAGAAAATGAATAAAAATTTTTGATATTGCGCACAACCATCAAATAATAATAACTGTTGTATCAAAATTACAATAATAATGATGGATGTAATGCAAATTATCAAGTTTTTTATATTTATAATTATAATGACTATTATTAATTGTGATTGTCAACAATTATTATTATTATCAAAAACTAATAATAACGATAATAATAATACCAGCATTGATCAACAACAACAAAATTTTACATCATTTACATTACAGAATCGTCATCATCATCCACATCAACATCAACATCAAAATCATCATCAACATCAACATCAACATCATCATCAACATCAACAGCATCAGATTCATATGAATAATCATTCTAATCATCATAATCATCATAATCGTTATGAAAATTTTCTTAAATCATTAAATAATCTTAAAAATCTAACAAAATTTCATCAAGTGATTTTTAATAATACTGATTATGATAATAATAATGTGAAATATGATGAAAAAACATCAAAACAACCAAAACAACAGAATTCAACTTTAAAAATGATGATGACAAAAAAATTATGTATGTATTATATTGATTGAATATCCAACAATGATTAATTGATTTGATTTGTTGTTTTTTTCCATTCATTCATTCATTAATCATTATTTTAGACAAACAAATCAATCAAAATTTTACTGAAAATAATGATGTTTATGATGATAATGACAATAAAGTTATTGATAATAATGATGAAGAAATTGATCATCATCCACATCATTATTATCAACATCAACATCAACATCATTATCAAATGGACAGAATAAAAGTGCCAAAATATAGCCATTATAAACATGATAATAATAATAATGTTGTTGTTAGTCAACAAAAACATCATCATTTACAATCATTACCTATTTTACATCATCATCATCAGCATCAACATTCGAATAATAATCAACATCAGCATCATCAGCATCATCACCATCGTCGACAACAGCAACAACAACAGCAGCAGCAATCATCATCCTCATTATCATTGAATAATAATTATAGAAATTTTTTCACATCTGGAACCTTATTTCAACAACAACAACAACAACCATTATTAATAATGAACAAAAATCAACAGAAACGACAACAACAACGAAAACATCAACAACAACAACAACAAACAATATCGAATGATAATAATAATCGATTATATGGATCGCCATCATCATCATCATTATCATCATTATCAACATCATCATTGTTTACATCGGAAATTGGATCAAAATCAATGATGAAAATTCATCAAAACAATAATGATTATAATGATGATGATTTTGATGATGATGTAGCCACAAATTCATTCAATAATAATAATAATAATAATAATAATAATAATAATAATCATGCCTTAGTTTATCATATTAGTTTAGGTACAATAATGGCCTTAATGCTATGTAGTACATTAGTATTAACTGCTGTTATAACTGTTGCATATAAAAGAATACATCGTTTATATTTAAATCGTAATAATAATTATAATACATTACAAGATGAATCATTATCATCATCAATATCGATAACAACAATTGCATCGACAGCTGCATTTAAATCATAAAATCAAAAAAAAAGATTTTCAAATGATTTTAACTGATGAAAATTCATTTTCGAAAAAAAACATAAACAAACAAAAGAGTAAAATTCTGTTGATTTTATCTTGAAAAATAAAACGATATTTTAAAATCCAATAATTTCTGATTTCAAATTTTGAAAATGCTCATTTTCAAAAGAATCTGCCATCTATCGGGATTTTAAGAGAAATAAAGTTATAAAAAAAAATATCCATTTGATTTTTTGGATACATTGAACGCTTGCGCATAAAATAATACAGATGCTCAATGCTCAAATTTTTTTCGAATTTTTCTGTTTTCGAATATCAATTGTTTTACCTGAGTTATTTGTTTACAATATTGGCTATTTGTATGGTGCTGTTTGCTCGTTTGCTTGCTAACATAATCCTAATCGAATAAATTTGGTAAGATTATGATGATTATTGATGATATAATTTGAAATAAATCTAATCAATTTATCAATCTTTAGTTTATTATTTGAAAAACTAATTAACACTACTATGGCTTCAACAATGGCTAACGAAAATTATTTTGATCAAATAAATTGTGCACTTGTATCCGTTTGGAATAATGGTACATTTCTATTCTCTTGTCGTAATATTGATAAAGCTGAAACTATTCGGGTATTTCGTGATCGTGCTCAAGATTGGCTTCGAGTAATCATTCAACAGGTATATATTGGTGACAATTTGATCGAAAATATTGATCAAAGATTGGATGAAATAACTGAGATTGAAGAGTTAATTGAAGATAATGCTATAACGGTTACATTTTTGGCTAATTTTGCAACTATTCCTTGTTTAACAATGAATCCAATGAGTGAAGCAAGTTTCAATTCAACACAAGTTTCAATGTTTGCTATTGATCGAACTCATGGTGATGGTAATCCACAATTTTTTGGTACAGCCAATATAAATCGACCTCGTGTATCGCATTGTGTTCCATTAGAGATGGTTATCAATATGCCAGGAAATTTTGACAATCCTACTATTGAATACATTAATTTCATATTGATGTCAAATATCGATTGTGGTTTGCTGCAATTCTATCTTCAAGACGTTAACAGAGATTTGACAATTGGATTTATCAAAAATGAATTTGAAAAACAATATAATTTAGAAATTGAGGAAGTAGTTATTGCCGGCTATCAAATGCAGGATGATTTTACTTTTTTTAATTATCCAATTTTCAACAATGAAATACATTATGTATTTTTTAAGGCTTCATTTTTTACTTTAAGTCTATTGGACAAGATTAAACAAAATCATTTGCCAACAGATTACGTCCAACAAAGTCAATTGATTTATCGATTTAATCGTTCAATGGAAAATCCATCGGCATCATCAATGAACACATCTGTTCCACGATGAACAAATTTGCTACGAAGATTTGCAAAATTGGCAACATTCGAAAAATTGGCATTTTCAAAATTTCAAAATTTCTAATTTTCAATGATTTTTTTTCAAAATAAATTTATTCAATCAAAAATGTCATTTTCAAAATAAAACTGAATAATAAAAATAATAATAATTTGAATTGGATTTAGTTTAATTTAAATTTAAATTTAAATGTTGTTGTTGTTGTTCATCGTCATCAAGTGTGATTAATAATCGATGATGATAATACCAATGATATTTCATTGAATCAGAATCCTGAAAATATCGTAAACAAAATGGACATGGTATTGATTGATTTGTATTTTGTTGTGATTTATCTTGATCTGAATCATCAATTATTGTTTCGATTTGTTCAGAAATGTTTGGCATTGATGATGGTTGTAAAATTTTTATAGCATTTTTCCAAAATGTTGTAAATAATTGATCCATTGTTTTCTGTAATAATGTTATATCCGAATGACATGGTTGAAAAATATGTAATAAATTATCAACTATTGAATCTTTAATTGTTTGTTCATCATCAATCAATTCATGCTGTTTTTCCGCCATATTGGATGATTGTTTGACTTTTGTCAATGATTCTTGTGAATTGACATTTTTTGATTGTTTAAGTTTACGATTTGATTGATTAGCTTTTGAGCTACGTGTTTTTTTAACAATCTTAGTAGAATCAGCCAATTTTTTGAATGTTTGCGGCCGTTTGAATATAGTATTTGATGATCCAATTATTTGTGTATGATTTTTTGGATCATATGGAATTGTAGATGATCGATTAAATAAAGATTTTGTCATTTTTGATTTACCAATCGACAATTGTTCATTGTTCGAAGCAGATTTTTTTGCAACATATGAAATTGATTTTTTTCGTTTTGATTGTTCGAATGAAGGAATTGTTTGTATGATTAAATTCTGCATAGAATTTGTCGGAATAAAAGGAATACGAATTTTTCGTTTCATAAATAAATTTGATAATTTAAATTCCGGTGTTAATAATTCGGAATAATTTTTTGATTCATTTGGATTAATAACAATCGATTGTTTGTTACCATTATTTGATTTTGTTATTGAAACGGATAAAAATTTACAATTAGAAGAATTTTTATCCGATTCTAAATCAAATAAACATTCAAGATCAAATGATTCAAGAAAAAATTTACGATTCGAACGTGAAAATGATGTACGCCAAGATGATAAATCATTTGGACGATTCCATAATGATCGTGGATATTTTAATAAACGTTCAGTTATATCAACCATTTCGGGTAATGATTGTGGTTTATATTGACAAATATTATTATTATCATCACAATCAAGATAGATTAATTTTTCATGATTTTTTTGTACAATAATTGGTACTGATGATGATGCCATAAAAACACAATGTTGATAATTGATTGGAAAACTTCTTTTATTGAATGTTTTACCAACAAAACAATAGAAAAATAATTCCATTGGAAAACCATTACAAACAGCTAAACGAATCAAATGTTTTGATGATGATGATGATGATGATGATGATGAATCATTTGTATTGATTAATGATGTTATTAATTCATCACATTTTTTACAATGAAAAATAAATTGATCAAGAAAATTGAGCCATTTTTTGTTGTTGTTGTTATTATTGTTGGTATTGGATTCTTCTCGTTTATGACAACTAGACATTTTGCTGTGATCCTTGTGACAAATTCCAAATGGAGTAAAAATTTGTTAATGGAAAATGTTTGCTTAGGATATTTAACTTACCAAAAAAAAAAATTTTTTTGATTTTAAAATTCAACAGGTGTTTGCGAAATCCAATCGAAATGATCAATCGATTTTTATTTCTTCTACTTTCACTGACTTTTTATATCAATCGAATGAATCACAATATGATTGAATGGAAACAACCAAAAAAAAAAAAATTCAATGTTGACAACTGTTGCATTGAATGGAAAAAAATTTTTCGATTACAATCAATGGATTCATATAACAACTGATGATGCGATCTCAAAATATTGAGAACATGAATATCAATAAAAATCTAAAAGATGATCAACTAGTAGTGGTATGATAAAAAACAAGAATCTGTGTGGTCTTTTTTATTTTGTCGATGGATTGATTTGAATTGATGATGATGATGATGATTGGTCATGCGTTGTTAAACTTTGAATAGATATCGTCATCTTTTTCAAAAAAATAAATGGGGAAAAATTGAGGGAAAAGAAAGGAATCGTTGATGAATCATTCAGATCAAATTGATTTTAGCAAGAATGCAATGTCAAATTTTTTGCCATTAAAAATTTTCAATTTTCTTTCAGACAATGCTTACCCTAAAATGAATAATCAAATTAAAATGATCAAAATAATAATAATAATGATGATGGATATGGACAACTTATTTTGACCAAAAACAAATTCAGGTATCATTGAATAATAAGCAGATGTTCATTATGAAAAATAGACATGCGTTGCTATTTTTTTTTTGGACATTTGTTGATATTCAATGGATTGTATACACAGTATGATAGGATCGGCGACGGGTTTGCATCGATGTGGATGTTTAGCCATACGATGATGATGATGATTATGGGTTTATTTTGTTTTTTTTCAAAAATGAATCCATTAAATGAAATGAATTTCATTCTCATATGGAGATGTCCTTGGTTTTTTGTTTTTCTCGGTCAGAAAAGGGTACCATTTCCTTCATTTACTTTCTCCCACTCTCTTTTTTTCAAAAAAAAAAAGATTTATTCATCATCATGGTTAAAATGGATAATAGAGATTCATAGAAAAAAAAACATTATAAACAAACATTTGTAATGTGAAAAATAAATTGGCCATTTTATTATAATAATTACATAATGGTAATTATTGATTTAATTACAATTTTTTTTCTCTGAATGGTTTTCAATGGAAAAACATCATAAAATTTTTGTTGTTGTAATTCTACATTGCCAATTCTGAATCACAAAAATAAACAAACCATTTTGGTTTTGAATAATAATTGGTCGTCAATTGTGACACATATGGCCTTCGTTTTTCTTGTTGTTGTTGATATCGTTATCATTCGATGTTTTACAATCTCCAATTAATTTCGATGATTAATTCAACATGCGCAATTGAAAAAAAGTATTGATTATCGATCGATCAACGCAAACATGTATACACATAGGCGTATGCATGAATAGAAACCAAACCAAACAAACAAAAAAAAAACTATAAACGACAGGAGGAGCAATAATAAAAGGAATGGCTTTTTTTCTGTTTATAAAAACAACAACAACAACAACAAAAACTTGATTTGTTTTTTATATATAGGTTAGCATACCTTTACAGTAGATAGTGTAAACGAAGAAATGATCAACAGGTTTTTTGAAAAAAAACAAACAAATTTAACAAGAATTTGGATAGCCAAGCAACAGACAAATGAATCAAATTTGATGATGATGATCGTTATCGTATTCTTTTTACCTTTTAACCTTGTTTGTCGGAATTTTCAATGAGTTGAAAAATGATTTATTTGAATTTAAAAAAAAACAAATGCCAGTTTCATTTTTCTTGGTCCGATGTTCATCACGTGAACATGAAACATGAACAGATTTTTGTTTTTTTTTTCAAAATTTTTTCCAAAGAAAATTGCAAATTATCCATTAACGAATGGTTATGATTTCCTCTTTGATTTGGTTACTTTTCGTTTTTTTTTTGGTGGTAATTCTTACAATGATTATCAAAACAACAACAACAGCAACAACATTCGTTTAATTAAATCATTAATTTTTATTAAATAAAAATTTAAATAATAATAATAATAATAATAGGAAAAAAAAATAAAAATTAAACAAAAACAAATAAATATTTTTTCATTTGAAAAAAGAGAAGAAGAAAAAAATCTTATAAGAAGGGAAATTAAATAATAGAGAAAAAACAAGAAAAAATAATGATGAGAATGACGAAAGGACAACCAGAATAGAAAATGATGAAAATGAAAAACACAAATGTAAATGAGCAAAATGAGAGAACAGTGTATGTTTTTTTCATATTTATTATTTTAGAAAAATATCATATCATTTTTTGTTTTGAGATAACGGGTATTTTATGAGTAGGTGTTGCTGAAACAAACAGAGAGAGAAAGGATGCTTATCATTTTTGTATAAAGAAATATATATAGATCACATGTGTGTGGATGTAATTTGAAAAAAAAAATATTTTTTGATGTTTTTTCAAAGAAAATATAAATATAAATCTTTGCATTTCACAATGTGTTTTTTGTTTGTTGTTTGTTATAATTATGGCCACTAAAAAAATTATTGAAAAAAAATCAATGATGATAATGTAATGATTACAATGATGATGATGATGTGTGTGTGTGAAATCAATAAACTAATAATTTGGCAAAATTAAAAAAAAGAAAAATTCAGCAACACAACAGGGTAACAGCAGCAGCAAAAAAAAAAAAATAAATAAAAATTTTAAAAAAGAAAATTTCCAAAAACCAATCGATAATGATGATAATTCGATTGTAATATCCCCATTTATAAACCAAATGTTGCCATTATAAATGATAATGGTTGATATAATGCCAATACCAAACAGACAAATATTACAAATAAAGGCAATACGGCAATACTGAATGACTGGATTTTGTTTTTTTGTAAAAGTAAGAAAACAAATGAAAGAAAAAATTTTGAATTTTATTTTTGGATTAATCAATCAATCAATATTCTCAAAACAAACTTACCACTTGATTCTGTAATGATAACAATTCATGTTTTTCTTTCAATGATTTAATAGCTTCATTTAAATATTCATTATTAGCCATTAATGTTTGATTTTGTTCAATTAATTTAGACATTTTTTCCTCTATAATCTATTTACATAAATGGGTAAAATTTGAATAATCATATTATAAAGAAATAATAATAAGAACAAACCTTATCAATTTTATCACAATCAATTTGTTGTTCATCAATCGTTTCATCTTTATTATCATCATCATCATTGTTATCAATAGCCATTGTTAAATTTTTCAACAATAACATTTTCGATGATAATGCTGATGATGATGATAATGTTGATTGTTGTTGTGAATCTTGATTATCAGTCTGTGTTGTTGTTGTTGTTGTGGTCATTAATAATTTTCGTTCGAATTGTTGTTGTTCAACTTGTACAGATTTTTCCAATTTAATAACAGGATTATCAGATTTGTTTGCTGTTGTTGTTGTTGAATGTTTATGTTTATTATTCGATGATTCTTCCAATTGAATACGTAAACATTGTATATCACATTTCAATTTATTTTCATTTTCAATTTGTCGTACAATTTGATTTTTTAATGATTCATTCTGTTGAAATAATATTGAATATTCTTGAATTTTTCTTTGTAAATTTTCAACTATTTTATTTATATTTAATTGCTTTTCATTCATTAATATTAACTGTTTATCAACCGAATCTTTAATTAATGATAATCGATTTAACATTGGTTGAATATGATTTTCCACTAGTTCATGACGATTCAATATAAAACTTTTTATTTGTTCATCTTGTTTAGGTTCTGTTGAAATGGAATCTGAATTTTTTTTTATAAATAAAATAATAAATGGATAAAAGTTCAGAAATTTAAAGGTAAAAATTAAAGTTTTTTCTTTCCGCGAAAAAAATACATACCTATAAAATCGGTCGATTCATTGAGATAATCTGTTTGTGTTTGTTGATGATTTTCAGAAATTCGTTCAATAATGTTATCGATCGTTGTCTGAACATCTTGATCCAACATGATCGGTGGAATTGTATTGGTTGATGTTGTTGATTTTTTTACTGTTATCACTTGTTGACTACCACCAACGGTAGTATTAAGTTTTTGTTGTTTTAATTTCAAATCTTCATCTTCAAAACGTTTCACTTTGATAATCAATTCTTCTTTTTCTTTTTTTAATTTATCACAATTTTGTGCTAAACATTTTAGCTCTTTAACATTAGAATCTAATGATTCTTGTAATAAACGACATTCATCAATTTTGGCATTCAATTTTGTTTTGGCTGTTTGAAGATTTGTTTCAGTTATAATCTTATTTTCTAATGCTTTTTGTAATGAACATTTTGATTCTTGTTCAAATTTTTCTTTATCGGCAATCAATTTTAGATTATTTAATTTGAGCGCTTCAATTATTGATGATTCAGGTGAATCACGATTTTTAGCAATAAGACATACTTCAAGTTGTGCTTGTAATGTTTGTATACGGCTTAAAAAACGATCCTCTTCAACAAGTGAACGCCAACCATTTTTAGCTGAATCAAGTGCTTCATTCATTGCTTGACGTGTTGAATCTAATTGTTGTTCTAATAATGTTTGTTTACGTACCGATTGATTTATCTGACAAACAAGATCAAATAATTGACTAGGCGGTATCTGTATTGATGAATTTGGATAATTTAATAAAAATTGTTGTTCACCATCACCAAAACAACCATCAGCTAATAAACGATGATTATCTTTTGTTGCTTCTGTACCATCCGGATGAAATAAACGTACAGTTGCTATTACACAGCTATGAACATTTTTCTTTTCAGTAACTTCAACACCGAATTGTATACAATCACCCGAATAAATAACTTGAGGTAATGAACGTTCATTTGTTGCCGATAAACGTTGTCCATTAACAAATGTACCATTCGAACTACATGTATCTTTTAGATAAAACTATTTCATCAATTGTCATTAGATTAGAAAACAAAACAAAACAAAACAAAAAAGGTTAAAAAATGATAAAAATTTACTTATTTATAAAATTAACATTAATTGATTCAAAACAATACCTTTCCTTCTTCATACCAAAGAACAGCATGATTACGTGATAATACTTTACAATCAAAAACAGCATTATTCAATGATGCTAATGTTTTACCAATTGAACGACCAACTTTTGCCTGTTTAGCTAATGATATACGTCTTTCAATAAAATGACAAGAATTTTCTTTCTTTGTCATTATTATGAATGGTTCACCGAATGATTGATGATTTGAATGATTTACATTTATAATTGATGATGATGATAATGATGATGCTGTTGTTGTTGTTGTTGTTGTTGTATCATTATTTTCAAATGATGATGATGACATACTATCGATTGTTGTTGATGATTGTGGTGATGATATCGATATCGATGTTGTTGTTGTTGTTGCTGTTGCAATTGTTGATGATGATGATGATGATAATTGTTCCGTAGTTGGCATTAAAAGACTAGATATTGTTGATGAATCAGTTGATGTTGTTATATTTGAATCGGTAAATATTGGCGGTGTATTTGGTTGTTGTATTGTTGATGATGAGGTAGCCATTAACGAAGTTGATGATGATGATGATGTTGACAAATCTCCATTTATAATCTGTAAATTTTCATTATCATTATTATTAATATTGGCAGCTATATTTGATTTTGTTGTTGTTGATGATGTCGATATAGGACCATTATTATTATTATTATTGATCATAAATGTAGTCATTTTTTGTTTCAAATTATTTGGATAAGATTGATATTGTTGTTGTTGTTGTTGTTGTTGAATAATCATATCATTATTATAGACAATATCATCATCATCATCATCACCACAATTATCATTATCATTATTAATATTGATATCAATAAAATGTTTTACATTCTTTTTAATTCTAAAACGATTATTATTATTATTATTATAATGTGGATGATGATGATAAAAACGATCATTTGGATCAGGTATTTTACGATTTGATTTTAATGTACGATCTGCATCATCATCATCATCATCATCATCTTCACAATCACCATCACCATTACGATTTGATTGTAATGTACGATCGGCATCTTCATCACCATTACCACCATTACGATCATCATTATTATCATCAATAATATGATTTTCTTGATCACAGTTTTTATTTGTCTTATGATTATGATTATTATTATTATTATGAATTGTAACAAATGTTTGCATTGATAATAGATTCGAACCTATATTATTGGATTTTGTTGTTGTTGTTGATGTTGTTGTTGTTGTTGTTGTTGTTGTTGTTGATAGATTTATATTTCCAACCGGTACAGAAATCACAGTACAACGATCATCATCATCATCATCAATATTATCATCTTCTTCTTCATAATTTTCTGTTAATGAATTTGTTGATAATTCTTCCTGGTCAATACCTGGATAATGATCATCAACATCATCAACATCATCATTGGAAGATGTTTGATTATCATTGACAACAATATCATCATCATTATTATCATTCAATAAAGAATTTTCATCATGTTCAATCATTTTGTTATTCATTATTGGAATCATACCATTCGATGTTGTTGTCGTTGTTGTTGAGCTTGATTTTGAAAGTTCTGTTGAATCAATTTTTTGTACATTTTTGTTTGAATTCAATGTTGATGTTGATGGTTGTAATGTATGTGTTGGTGGTGGCGATGAAGACATTTTCCTTTTCCTTTCCTTTTTGGATTTTTGTTTTCATCAATTTTTTTCTATATATTATTATCATATTGATCGATTGAATAAATTCTTAATCGTTTCTCCATTGTTAGATTGTTTTTATTAATCTAAAAAAATAAAAGTAAATAAAAAAATGGATAACAATCTAATCAAATAATGATCAAGAAACAATCTGAAAAAAATTTGAAAATGTTTTTGGGCAAGTGCGCGCGCGTCATTCATTCATTCATTTTGATTTTTATTTTGATTATTCATTCACATCATTGTTTGGGGCGAGTCTCTACAAACAAACATTATCGTCATCATAAGTAATGACAAATTGATTGTTGCGTTGTTGTTGTTGTTGTTTGACTAAACATAAAAAACAATTCTGATTTATAATTTCTGTTTTATTCGTAAAATTGATATTCTTTTTTTTCCAAAAATATCGATCAAAATCAGAATCAAAAAAAAAAGAATAAAATCTGAACCACTGAAAAGAAAAAATGTTTCTACATTATCGTGTTCAAACCGATCATCGAGGTTTAGCTCATCTAACAATACGAATGAGTTTTGAACAAAATATTCATCAATTATTGGATATTTATATTGATGGTCCACCACCATTAACTAATACTTGGATAATAATTATTCCACAAGGATTATTCTTAACAAGTAAAATTATTGTTTTAAATTTCATTTTGATTTTTGTATATATATTTTTTTTCTTCTTTATAACATTATCAACCAGGATTACCAAATTGGAATATTATTCGTAATATTGTTCAACAAAATCGTATTTATCCATTACGTCAACGTGAATTGAATGAAATTGCATCAAGAATTACAATAGGTAAATTTAAAATTGATTGATTTGATTTGATTTGAATTATTTATTATTCTATTTGCACTTATAGTGGAAGAAGTAAATGAACAATTACGACAACAATATGAAATTCTTGGTCATAATCCACGTCGAGCTAGTTTTCGTATTACAATGTCTTATATAAGAATATGAAGAAGGAGAAAAAACATTCAATAACAACAACAACAACAAAATGGATGCATCTTTCAATTCTTTTTGTTTTGAATATTTTGATTCAATAAAATCCTAATTTATTCAATAATATTTTTGAAAATAAAACATTATTCTTTAATTATAAACACTAATTGACAGAAAAAAACCGTTAATCAACCGTCATTGTATAAAGTTGGCCTTTCTTTATTCGGGTATTTTTTTGGTACACGTGTTTGAGCAATACAACGTGCTTGAATTTCGATTACGAAACCAAGTTTGTAGTAAATAATTTTCCTTGATTAATCATTTTTTTTCTTTGATTTACAAAATTAGACAAACAACCAAACATGTCCGGTGAACCTCAAGAAGTATTTTTCGATCATGAAGGCCAATCGGCAGTATTCTTAGAATTAGGTGGATCGAGATGTGCCATATTAATAAATATATCTCGCCAAATGCCTTACAATCGTTTCTGGTATTTACAGTTTCCAAATTCTGATGATTTCATGTATCTATTAAGACGATGTAAGTATTTATTCTTATTACAATCGTTTGAATTAAAAAATTTATTTTTTCAAACAGTATTTCCAGAAAGTCTTAATCAAACTTTTATTAACGTGATTGCACCGGAATGGCTTGAAGAATTTGCAGATAACGTAAAAATCGGTAATAATCATATTTACGATCATATTTTTATATATACTAAAATAATGATGATTTACTTAAAAATAGCTGATACATTACAAGATTTAATTGATGATGATTCAGCATCATTGTCGGCTGTTGGCCGAATACAAACAATGGTCATACTCTTTCAACCTGAAGTTCAATCGATTGTTATTCGTTATTCAAATTGAATTTATCCGATACTAAAAATGTATTAAATTTAATAATTTTTTCATTTACAAAAACACTATACACACTTTCGATTCAATTCTACATTCCAAATAACACTTTATTCGATACATATTTTTAATGAAATTTTCAATTGAAACTTTGACACAAACACTATACACATTTTGGATTTAATTCTACATTTTGAAAAATAAAATTCTCAAATAAAAAAAAATTACAAAATCAATTTCCTTAATGATCTTTTTTTTTGCTTAAAAAACGATAATTTTCCAAATGAATATCGAATTCTATTGAAAAAAATATCTATTAACCATCATGGTATGAATTGGGCATATCATTATTCGGGATATACAGGTGAGAAAATAAAGCATGTTCTAATATTTTCTATATTAATTCATTCACTGTGAGTCGAGAATTGTTGTTAATTCCAAATTTCTTTTTTTTTTGTCAATCTGAAAAAATACTAATCAATATGTCCGGTGAAATTCAAGAATTATATTTTGATAGATTGGGTAAAACATACACAAGACTTGAATATGATAATATAACTTATCTGATGCGTTTATCAGTACGATGTTATTGTCATTTTAATCAAATCTGGCATGTACAATTTCCATCTCAAGAAGAATTTCATAATATGTTACGAATACGTAAGTATTTACTTATTAATTTCAATGAAAAAAAAAGATTTTTCGTTTTCTTTTTGTACGCAAAACAGTAGCTTGTGATCAGCGTCTTAGAGAACGTCGTGGACAAGTTCTTACTTTTAGAGTATCAACATGGCTTGATGAATTGGCTGATCTTATTAAAATTGGTAAATATTTTATTAATAATAATAAAATGATTGTTTACAGGTTATAAAATAATTAAATTTTTTTTTTTTTGGTTTGAATAGCCGAAGATCCATCAATGTTATCAGATGATAGTCTTTATCTTCAGTTATCGTTCATAGGAGAAGTTGATTTGATTTTCGTGAATTTTAATCACGATTAATATTGAACACATTTGTCAATTGTAATTCATTACAAAGATTTACAAATATACTCATTTAATGATTTCAGACTTAATTGCTCAACAACACATACACAAATTACAAAAATTTAACATTGAAATTTACTAAATTCCTAATGGATCAATTCAATAATTTTACACTAAAAAAAAAATTTGATTTAAACAACAACAACATTCCAATGCTTAAACAACAATCAAAAAAAAATTCTTTGACATTTTTGCCTCTGAAACCCACACACACCAATTTTGAATTTAGGAATTGGAAATAAAATCCATATTGATTGATCCAAAAAAAATATACCGTAATGTAGTCCTAATAATTAATAACATAGGTAATAATTGAAAATTTCATTGTATAAATTCGGCATTATCTTCAGGTGTTTTGTAAAACAGGGTGTGTGTTTAACATGGTTTGATTTTCGACCAATATAAAGAGATATGCACACAAATTATTTTCCGTGATGCTCTCTTCATCACTTCATCACTCGTTTAAGGTATTCATTTTTCATTTGCATTCGAATGTGATCACTTAATACAACTGACTGACTGACTGACTGACTAATTGATTCAATCAAAATTCCTGATCGAAACAAATAAACAGAAAAAAAATCATGGCACCAAATGAACAACGAATGTATGTTAATGGACGTGGTAAAGCAAGTATTCGTATGGAATATTCAAATAAAATATTATTAGTAGCTCGAATTAATTTTAGTCAATCAGAAACATTTAAAAAAACTTGGCATGTTAAAATACCGGCTGTAAAAGAATTATTATGTAAGTTATTCAAAATTCTATGAATGTTTGAAAATTGATTCCCTTGTTCAATTGAATTAGTAAACGAATCAAATCCAATGCCTGAATATAGTAATTTTTCATTCTATCTTAATCGATCTGATTGGTTGGATTATGTTGCTACACGTATTAAAATTGGTAATTATAATCTTCTGATTCCAAAAAAAAAACATAATCATTATTATCAACAATATTTTTTCTTTCAATATAGCCGATCAAAAATCTAAATTGAATGATCCAGATGTAAAAACATTGAATGAATATGGAGAAATTGAACGAATTTCAATTGATTATTTGTAATTTGTTTTGTTCGTATTTCGTTTGATAAAATCATGGAGACATTCAAACTGACTTTATCTAAAACAAACAACAACAAACAAAACCGTTTGCTTCAACGACTCAAATTACATAACACAAACAAACACACACACACAAACGCACCCAAACAATCGAATCGATTCATATTCAATAATCTGATTCATCAATTTCACAATAAAAAATTAATGATCAATCAATAATACACACACACAAACACACAAACATATAATGATGATCATTTTGAATTAATTAATAAAATAATTATGGTAATAAAAATATATGAAAATTTCCATTTGTTTTTTTTTGCGTCACCCAAAACATCACCAAAAAAAAAAAGAGATGAACATTATGCATTTATGAATTTGCTTGAATTGTGTGTGTGTCATTCGTCATCAATCAATCAATCAATCAATCAATTGATTTTGAACAACACACACAAAAATTCTGGCATCCTTTATCATCATCCAACTTTTGAAATTTGAACCAGAAAAAAATGTATCAATCAATGATAATTCTATCGGAAGAAGAAAATCCAAGCAAAATATGTGTAACCGTATCGATATTAACAATGACACGTTTTCAATTATATTTTGAAATTTTTGTACATGGAAATTTTACCGAACGTACTTGGTGGGAAATAACAATGCCATTACATTTTTCATTCGAAGGTATTATTTAGATTCTTTATTCATGTCATTGCATATTAAATCAAATAAATTCAATCCAAAAACAAAACAAACAAAAAATAGATTCAATCGATTGGCCACAATTGATTTTTTGTATTCAAAATCATTTTAAATATCGATTAACACAAGAACAACAATTATCTTTGTTGCAAGAGGTTAATGTTGGTAAGATTATCAAAAAAAAAGTTTATTTTTATGAAATTTTTTTCTTCTTTTTTTTCAATTCTTAAATTCCAAGAACAAGTGGTAACAATTGATAATGAAAATCCAATACGTCCACCATTTCAATTGGGCAATATTTATATTCATTTTTTACATACATAATCCTTTGGTGACAATCAGATTGGCAGATTCTTTTGATTTTCATTTGTTTTTTTTAATTATAAAATTTTGTAATTTGCATTATAATTCAAAAAAAATTATTTCAATTTGAATAAAAAGATTCATTTATTACACATTTAATGAATGGTTATCAATTGTTTTTTTTGCTTCTGCTGAGTATGCTCAATCAAATGATGATTTAGTCTATTGTGGATTATATTTCATCAACATAATTATTACATCAATTCAATTCGATTTAGGTAATATTCGTCCTTCATATTTGTAATCATCTGGTTTGTTTTTCGCACTTGTTCATTTAGCAAAACAGAAAAAATGGTCATTTATCGTCGAAATCATGTTCCACAATTTAATTCATGGGAAAATCGTTCATATAAATTGATAGCTCAATCAAACATAATCAGTTTGGAACTTAAAAGAAAAATTAATGAAGAAATTGGTATCAAAATGAATTTGATTATTCTGGCTGAACCACCAAGTACAAGATTTTGGCGTATTGAAATACCAAGAGGATTTTCTGAACAATGTAATTATTCAAACAAAAAAAATTTTCATTGACACAACTAACTAACTAACGAAAAAAAAAACATTGAATTCAATTTTTTTTCCAGTTCCATTAAATGATGAAATTACTTCGTTGATTGTTAACAAAGTTCAAAATCGAAATCGAATACTTCGTATTCGTCAAAGTATGATTCAATATTATACAAATTCAATTCGAATCGGTAAACAAACAAAACATTGATCATTTCACGATAGATGTTGAGATTTTTATTTTTTCTTTCAAATTATAGTTCCAGGAAGAAATAGTTGGGATGAAGAACTTATTGATAATCAACCAAATAATTATGGTTATTTTTATCAAATCGATTCAAATCGACCAGATATTAATCGATCTATTCGAAATCGTTTTCTACAAACATATCAAAGTGGTAATGAAGAACAATTTGTATCATTCAAATTGATTGTTGAATATTTTCCTGCAAATCTTTTCGATCAAATGTAAAACACGCTTTGAATGGTGGTAAAATCTCCAATGAATTTACTAAAAAAAAAATACTTTTAATCAACATTTTTACAAATCGATTTAATTCAATTTTTTGTTTTGTTTAATCCATGTTCTACTTTTTTTTTGTCAAATGTCATCCTGATTGATTTTTTTTCATTTCTTTTTAAATCCCCGTTACCATGGAATAAAATTGATGTTTTTTTTTTTTTGTTGCCCACATTCAATCGATTAACCCAAGTTTTTTATTCGTTTGATAAAAAGAAATGATATTGAAAATTGAATAAATCGATTGTACAGCCACCTTTTGATTTATTAAGACAATTTTCTGTGATTTTTTTTTCCATCAATATTTATCATTAATAAATTTTTGAAATTTATTAATGAAAAAATTTCAATTTATAAATTCAATAAGATTGCATGACAACAAGTAGAATATCAAATTACAATTCGTTGTAATGAAACATTTTCCAAATAATGTTCAAAATTAATCATTCAATTTACAAAATAATTATAATTACTAATAATGATTTTCAATGAATTTCTAAAATAAAATTTCCAAATTTTCCTCTTCCTCATCATCTACTCTATTTCTTTGGTGTGTATAAAATGTTCGATACAGTCAATACTCGATTTATAATAACCAAAAAAAAAGCACATTCCAATGAAATAGAACATTTCGAATTAAGATCCTGAATTATACAGCGCCACGTAGTAGTTTGAGCAACCTGGTGCTGGTTTGTTGCGCGTGCTTATTATTTACTTCTTCAGCTAAGGTATTTTCGAAATATATCATTCGAAACAATTATCAATCAATCAATCAATCAATCATTAATTGATCTATAGGTTAAGTATTTTTCGCTACACTTTAATCAAAAAAAATGGTTGTTATTCGTATTACTATCAATGAAAATGGCATGAGCTGTATCAAAATGAGAGCTGGCCATTATGTTCAATTTTTTTCAAAAATTATATTTTTTGAACAAAATTTACGATCATTACGAATGTTTATAAAAGTTCCAACTATTCAGGAAATGTTTGGTAATTATAAAATTATTATTATTATTAATTTTGTTTGTCATTTATTTTGATTTACAAATAATTTTTCTATTTTTTTTCAATCTAAAAATATCAAAGACAATGAACCATGGCCATTGAATATTGTTGAAAATTATGGTATTGTTGATCTTGATTCAACATGGTTCAATTACATTGCATCGAAAATTATTCTAGGTCAGTTTCAAATTGATTATTATTATTATCATTTTTTTTCCTTCTAATTCATACCGGTCTTACCATCCAAAAATCCCTAAATCCTACCCTATACACACACACACACATACTCAAACAAACAGGACCTGAAGCAAATGAATTGTTGAATGATCCTCGTGAAAATTTAACTGTAGCTGATTATGGACAAATTCTTAGCGCTCGTTATGAATGGTATGAACCTGCTTTTGGTTATTGAATTATTGTTAAAACAACAATAATTTCCGATTGTAATGATTAATTTTTCATTTGAATTAAAATTTTTTGAAATAAAAATTTAAAATGTTTTTTCCAAAATAAATACTTCTCTCTCACACAGGTTATATGAATGACCTGTAATTCACAAACACGTGCTGCTCACCTTGAATACACACGCGCACAAAACCAATGTTATTCTATCATTAATAATTACATCATCCAATTCATTCAAGATTCTCAATCGATATTTTTTTTGGTTATTGAAAGTTTTCGTCATCCGATCCAGATTCAAAAAAATGGAAACATTTTTCGATAGTGAAGAAGCACGTAGAATGGGTTATAAAGTTGTAAAAATTTGGGCAGACGATGAAAATCAATTTACTTTAACTGAAAAAATTATTGATGGAATAGATATTGCATTCAAATTCAACATGACTCCAACCGAAACTCCAGAATCATTGATCTGGAATGTAAAAATTCCACGTGTTATGTTCAATTTGGGTAAATTCAATTCAACTTTTTTCAATTATATTCATAAAATCATTTATTATTAGTTCCTAATAAGATCGAATTGAATCCAACTGATGTACCATATCTATATAAAGTACCAGAATCGCTTGTTGAACAATACAGTCGATTTATTGTTATTGGTAATTATTCTAATTTGATAATATTTTCATAATTTGAATAATTTTCAATTAATTAATGTTATTTATAATATAATAATGTAGAAGAGAATGTTGATTATTATTTCGATAAAGGACGTGGATTACTTTCAAAAACCAATGATGATAATCCCGATAATGATCTTGAATTTGGATTAAAATATTACTTTTTTAATCGTATTTATCGATATTTGCTTGGTCGAAAACATGCTAATATTACTGATCCTGTTGTTGAAAGAAGTTTCGGTCACTTGATTTCAGGTGAGAATATGTTGAAACAAGCAAAAAAACTTGTTAAAAATGGTTTAATTAATAATCAAACTGCCTGGTCAATGATGGTAAATGGTGAAACATCATTAACTATTGGTAATATTATGTTGGATGAAAAATTACATGAACTAGAATTTAGTGAAGAATCGTATGCAGAGTTTTATGAAAATGATGATGACGACAATGATGATGATAACAATACTGATGACATCAATAAACAACCGATGAAGCCACAATTTACAGTTGAAATTTTCTATTTCAATTTGATTGAAATTATTAATTCATTTTAAACACACAGACACCATACTGATCTATTTTATACTTTCTTTCATTTTTTTACAACAATTAATACTTATTCTGGTCAACAATAATCTACTATTACTACTACTACTGCTATAATAATCTTTATCTTATAATTTACTCGGATCGTTTGTTTTTTTTTTTGATGATTCATAATTAATAAAATTTACTAATTACTAAATATAAAATGAATGAACAAATTGAATAATAATTAGAGCGATTGAAAAAAACAACAACAACAACATCAAACATCGATGAATCAATGTTTGATGATAAAATAAATGAACAACACACAGTTGGGAGAGGGCAATGAAGAGAAACAACAACAACAAATTGAAGATCATAAAACAGATCACTATGGATTTCAACTTTGATTTTTATCTATTCTAACAACAACAACAACAACAACAACAAAACAACCACAAAATGTTCATTTGGGTTAAAATAAAAATCAATAATAATGATAATTATAATAATAATAATAATGATGATAATATTAATGATGGATAGAATTATTGTATTTTGCCATTTTGAAAAGCAAAGTGATTTTCGTATTTTTTTTCGTCGTTCAAAAAAAAAAACAAACAAACAAACAAACATCCATGACCAGGAATGGCAGAAAGACCACCCAAATTAATATATATGTGATTCGACGAGTACGTCGTAATCAATGTAATAGTGTAATATTATTAACCATCACATTACAAACACCATCATCATCTTGTCATTGGAGACAAAATCAAAAAAAAACAACAACATTTCATTTGATTATTGTCAATCATTTGATCAAGATCATCGTCAAAAAAACCAAAAAAATGGTATTCATATTTTATATACAAACAAATTCACGTGGAACGGCTGAATTTCGTTTAAGATGGCGTATACTTTATGATATTGATGTTATTATTGAAATTGATATTGGTGGACCATCACCAACATCAAATATTTGGAAAATTCAAATACCAAGACGTTTTCTTTTAAACGGTATTAACCTTTCACACTATAATCATATATCATATTACATTATTTTTTTTTTATTTCGAAAAATTCCAGTTCCAAGAAATTGGAATGATATTCTTTATACATTAGAAAATCTAATGTATTGTTCAATAAGTGGTGAACAATTTTCCGAATTAGAATCCGGTATAATTATCGGTAAGTTGTTTATTTGATTTCAATAATAACAAATTTTTCATGATTCAAATTTGCTTTCCTATTTATAATCCAATTACAAAAGAGGAAGAAATACGTACAGATATGCGTGAATATTATCAAAATCATGGTTTTGAACCACGTAAACCATGGGCAATGGTTATAAGAGCTGCTTATGCACGAAAAGATTTTGTTTGGAATTAAAAATTTTTGGATTTTTTTTGTTTCCCTATCATTTTTGACATTACTAAAATGAATGAATAAATATTTTTTTTTTCACAAACTTTCAACAAAATTTCCATAGTTTTTCTACTTCTTTTCTCATTCATTATTCGATGCTTAATTCATTTGAAAATTAGTTGTTTTTTTTCGATCCAGGATTACCACCTTTCACCTAAATCAATTCACAAATATGGTATTTCATTCATTCATTAGCACACACATACAAAAACATGTGATTCGAAATTCGAAAATAAGTAGTAAATAAGGGTAAATATTCATTTGTTTTTCTCATTTATATCAATCCAAATTTCTAATCAATTACAATAGGATTTTGGTTTCGAGAACGTAAAAAAAAAACAACAACAAACAAACAAACAAAATATCAAATGGAACGAGCTTATGTTCAATATGTAGCACCAGATATTGTAGATTGGGTTATATTTGAAAATGATATTGGTACAGAATTAAGTGCAAGTTTTTGTTTACATTTCAATGAAATCAATCAATTTTCATTGGGATTTTATGTTGTATTTAATGTATATTTGATGGAAAATGGTAAGTATGATTTAAAAAATTTTAGAATCTATTGAAAAACTTTCTTAAAATATATTCTTGTTTTTATCACTTTAATTAAGGTATACCAAGTTCACAAGCTGTATCCGATATGTTAACAGAAACTATTTTTTTCCGTTTGACCGGTGGTCTAATCGAAATGGCCAGAGAATATATCTATATTTGTAAGAATATTTATCATCATATATGTTTCATAAACAATTAATTCATTTATCCTTCAATTTCGATCAATTCACTTGTTTTTTTTCTTTCTTCCTTATTTCAATCCTCGAATAGACGAAAAATTCATTTATGATGATATTATAACATTGGTTAGATATGAAAATTATCATCTTGAAGTAATTTATAATCGACAAGATAATCAACCTGATCGAGAATTTTATTTTGAATATTTATATTTTGATTGATCTTTGGCCTTGAATATCTAAAATCAATTTGATGTTTTTTTTTCTCGGTGTTTTTTTCCCACTTGTTAACATTACACTAATGCCAATCTTATCCAATTGAGGCAATAATTTTTTCATCAATTTTAACTTGAAATAATTTTAATATTTTCAATTTAAAAATGTAAATAAATCTTTGATAGTAGCGACCTCCAATGAGCGACATGCTTACTAGTCATTGAAACATGACATTGAATTCGATTTCGTTTTTCCATATACCTACAACAATTTTTCCAATTCTTTTTGGACCAATTGGATCATCATCACTATCTTTGATAATAAAATACATTACCAATACACACAGAAACATACTATCGACAAAATCGATAAACAAAAATGGAATATTATCAAACATTTACAATGTTATGTTATCCACAACAAACACAAGTAATTCGTTATCGTATAAATGGTAATACATTTGTAAAGATAACAATTTTTTTCCATCTATGGCATGCAATAACAAATTGGACAATATGTGTTCATTATCGTTTGTTACGAAGTAAGTATCATTATGAAAAAACTTGTAATATAATTTACCAAATCTAATTAAATAATATAATTTCTAAATCATTTCCCACACAGCTTTACCACATCATCGTATTCGTACTACTCTTGATAATCGTGGTAGTTGTCGAATTCGTCTTGTTAATCATGTCTTACAACAAGACAAAAGTGCCATACAAATATGTATGCTATGTTTATTTTGTTGATTACATTCTTCACAAATCATCCATTCAAACTAATAAGAATTTTCCTCTGATTATTTTTACCAGATCGACATGTATGGGATGGTCGACGTTTTCATTTACTTCGTTATTATCATTTCACCGTTGAAATGCAATATTTTCGAGTGTAAAAATTTCTAGAAATGAAATTTTTGTTTGCAAAAAAAAAACAAAACAAAACAAAACATATCTGCCTTTTCTGTTAACTGATTGATATCCAATTAAATTTTGTAATAAATTATAATTTTAAAAAATAAATAAAGTAATTAAAAAAAACAAATCCATTAATTTTCATGTTTTTTTATTTTCAAAATTCTGTTGTTTTATCCATTTTTCAGAATAAAAAGAGAATCCAGAATCAATGAATGTCGGTCTCATATCTGTGCCTGAATGTAAATAATAAAACCGATAGATTGCGTTACTATCGTTATTATTGAGGGAATTTTGTGGCCAAAAAAAAATATCATCATTATGATGATGATGATGAAAAGAGTTGGAATACCAAAATGGAATATAAAAAAAAGGTCAAGTAAAGGGACATTCGAGGGACATAAAAATCATCAAACTTAATTAAGTGATTCGTGGGAAAAAAATGTTTACAAAATCAGAGAATTTTTGTCAAGAGATTCTTGAACAAACAAAAAGACAAAACCAAATATTTTTTCCTAAAATCACTCGATTCTATCGCTGCTATACTCCAAAATATTTTCAACTTACCGTTCAATAATGATGATAATGTTGAAAATGGTTCAACTATATAATTGGTGAGTATTTATTATTTGATTTATAGATGAGCAAATTGTTGTTTGGTTGGTTGATTTCAATGATATTTTCGATGTTACTTGACTTTTTAGTCGTTGTTGTTGTTGTTATTCTAAAATTGATGTCAAATCAAAAAAAAAACACTGATGAAACAAACAAATGATTTTCACATTTGAACATCATTTGATTTTAAAATAAAAACAAAACAAACAAACATTTTCTTTACAGAAACACACACACAAACAAATCCAGATGGTTTTGTCGGATTATAATGAAGATAATGTTGATGAATTGAAGGTTTAGGTAAAGAAGAAGAAGAAGAATTGAAATACCAAAAATAGAATAATTCTCTGCGTCTATTTTAACTAAATCGATCAATCAACCAATAATAATAACGCCCATTCAAAGAAAAAAGAATCGTTTCGTTTAGATGCAAAAACCAAAAAAATAATTACCGAATTGTTCTTTTCTTATTGATCTGGTTTTACTCAGAAATTAAAACATTGAAAACAAAACAAAACAAAATTCACGAAACGAAAATGTTGATGGTGATATTATTAATCATATAAGAAATAGCAGAAAAACAAAAAAATTTTTGGTAGTTGCGTTTTTTTTCTGTTCATCATCATCATCATCATAATCATCATTTTTTTCAAAATAAGTGGCGCCTCGTATTCACATTGTTTGACATTGATGACGGTAATAAATTGATGATGATGATGATAATGCCACACACACAAAAACACACGTTGAAGCCAGGAAAAACAACAACAACAAAATCTAAGTCGTATTTTATTCCATTTGATTACCGTAGGTTTTTGTTGTTGCTTTTTTGAGTTTTAGTTTTTCATTGGTAATCAGGAGTGATGAGTTATGTTGGTGGATTTCAAAATGATTTTGTTACATAAAATCAATCAATTCAATTCAATTTGATTGATTGATTTAGAATGCTTGAATGTTTTGCAATGATGATGATGATGGTTTTTCGTTCGTTTCATAAACTTTTCTGGAAGAGAAAGAGAAAAAATGAAAAATTAATTAGTCGATCAATTTTTCATGAACTTTTTTTAAAAAAAAACAAGAATTTTCTGAAAAAAAGAAGTCAGAATAATTTCTGCAACAACAAAAAACAAGAAAAATTATCTTTGATTTTTGATTGTTGTTGTTGTTGTTCAAATGAGATCTATACTTGCAACAAACAAACAAACAAAAAATCAACAAGTTTGTATTAGTGGAAGTGAGTAGTAAACACACACACACACACACACAGAGAGAAAGGGAGCAAGAAGAAAAATATCCAAAGACTTGTTTCTTTTCTTCTTCTTCTTCTTCTTCAAAACTCAACCATGACGACGATGATGATGAAGACAACCAACAACAACGATGGCTATATGATGATGATGATGATGACGATTACAATCAAACATCATTAATTCAATTCAATTCATTTCATCAAAGTAAAAGTTATTTTTTCAACAACAACAACAAAAAAAAACTCACTTTACACCCGTTTTATTCAGGCAAATGTCCGAAAATCAAGAGAAACGAAAAAAAAGGATGCTAAAATATCAAAATTTTTAAAATGTTTTTTGTTTTTTCACAACCAAAAAATTATTCAATGAACAAAAAAATATGTAAAAGAAGCGGAAAAACTTGCCTGAAAAAAAACAAATGAAAAACGACAAACATTGAAAAAGGAAAGGAAAGAAAAACATGGTTCGCGAACGACAAAATCAAAAAAAATCACATCAATTTTGTTCGCACACAAAATATTTTCGTCAACAAAACAAAAAAAAAACAACGAAAAAGTCGATCGCACAACAACAACGTTGATGTTGATGAAAATTGTAATCAGTAAAAAAAAAAGTAAACGTTTGATAAGAGAACCACGTTGTTGTTGTTTTGGTAGCGGGGGGAAGATTAACAAAACAGAACAGAAAAAGAATTTTATTGTCATAGCGATCATGTCAAATTGGGGGGGGGATTAATCTAAAATATTAATCTCATCATCAAAAAAAAAATCAAATCGGATTTTTGATTTTTTGGAAAATTTATTTATTTATAAGAAAGCGTCAGCATACTGTTTGATTGTCTTTCGAAAAAAAAACAAGGGGGAGAGGATGATGTAATCATGATACGATGATGAAACAAACAAAAAAAAACCTGTACCCGTTCATTTCAAGGATGTTTACTTGTCTATTTGTCTACACTGTTTATTACTACTGTTTTTTTTTCATTGAAAAATTAAAACTAACCTAACTAAAAAGATGTTTAACGTTGTGTGTTTTTTTTTTGGTGTGAATGAATGATCATTACCACTTCATTTTTGCATCATCATCATCACTATGGCTGTGCTCATATGTGAATAATGATGATGATGATGATGATGCAAAAACATTATATTTATATATATCCACAAGCATTAGGAATATGATGATTATTCATTTATCATATTTTTTATTTCTTTTCAAAAAAAACATTACCCTTAAAAGAAATTCTTTCATTTAGTTTGTCGAGTATAAGATGTGAATCGTTTTTTTTGTTGTTGATTCTTACGGAATTTTGATGATTTTTAAAAGAAATTCTGTTGTTGTTGTCTGAAAATTATCGCAAAACAAAACAGAAAATATGTCCAAGACACGTGTTTTTTTTTTATTTTGCCAAAAGAATTATAATTTCTTTAGGTGTGTGTTTGTGTTTGTGTGGTGTGAACAACAAAAATATGATTTTAAAAATGAGCAACGTTAAAAGTAAGAAGAGAGAAAAAAAAAGAGTTAGAAAGTAAGATTGATGATGGCCCTAGGTGTGATCGTTGTTGTTGTTGAGCGGTAGAATGGTCAAATTTTGTTTTCTCAAAATCTTGAGGGTAACAAATGAAGAAAGGTAATTGTGTAATCAGACAAGGTAAATCAAAAAAAACAAAACAAAACAAAAAATGACTAGCCTGCAACTTTGACTCATGGATCGAGCCAAAAAAAAGCACAAAAATAAGGTAAAAAAAAACCAAATGGAACCAAATTGATGGTCCCAGGGTAAAAATAGTGGAAAAACAATAACAAAACAAAACAAAAAAAAAACATTCGAAAATGGGTGGATCACAACAATAATGGGGGGAGGGGAAACTAAAATGAAATTATACTGTATATATCAGTGAAATTGTAAATAGATTGTTCCATTAATAGACAAACAAACAACTATTATAATAGACAGATAGAATTGGAAATTTTTTAATTTATTTTTCCAAAAAAACAACAACAAAATAGTAAACATATGATGATGATGATGGTCCACCATTTTGGTAGTGGTGGTGGTGGTGGATGTCGTGGTGATAAAAGGTGACCATCAAGTTTTCGTGGAAAAAAATCAAAAAATTAGCCAGAAAATACATACCTTAATGCAACAAACAAACAAAGAAAATCACAGAATCGATAAAGATGTTTTTTGTTTTAGTTATAAGTCACGATATTTTTCGAAAGAATCGATTGATGATTCTTGATGATGATGAAATCAGGAAGAAAAAACACAGAGAATCAAGATGTTTTTGTGTGTATATGTGTGCGATCAACAATTAAACGATAATTACGAAAACATCAACAACAACATTCAATGAAAATAATAATGATGTGAAGCGATAAAAAAAAAGAAAAGGAAAAAATTCAACGGGAAATGATCGGCAGTTGATTGTTTCATCATTTGTCGATTCTGTAATTTTTTTTTTTTTTTTTTTTTTGCTCGATTCGATTTCAGCAGCTAGCGGTATTTATTCTTTACTTCTACTTCTCCTTTTTTTGTTTTTGGTTCTGAAACTGAAGAACAACTGTATTTTGATAGTTTAGCAAAACAAAACAAAAAAAAAGAGGGGGAAGGAATGAAACGTGGGAATATAGACTTTTTTTTGCACAGGATATCATCATTATATATGAAAAAAATGTGTTCTTTTTGTTTCTCTCTCTCTCTCTCTCTCTCTCCATGGTATTCATCATCATCATATATAGATGTGAGGTGGTGATGGTGGTGGTGGTGGTTGTTGTTGATTTGTATTTGGGCGTTATGGTTCAATCAATTCATGTCCGTTTTTTTTTCATTTCATGTGTATTTGCGCGCGTATGTATTCATTTGAAGAAAGCAGCAATAAACTGTATTTAGCAAAAATAAGAGAAGAACACATAGGATATTTTTGTTTTTTTTTGTGTTCTTCTCCTATTTTTCTTTTCACAATTCTTTCTCTCTCTCTCTCTCTATATGATGTGGCTAAGTTGAATGACTATGGTATGTTTATTATATTCGTTTAAAAAGAGGGGAGGGAATTATTATTAAAAAAAACAAATAAATTGTATCGATTTGATAAGAATATTTTGAAAGGAAAAAATTTAATTACAAATTCAGGGGTTTTTTGTAATTAATTCAATTTCTTAATTGTGATAAGTTTGTTTATTAATTGCAAAATGGATTTAAACCTTTTTACAAACTATACAAATTTACATCAATTCACAATTCGATCAATACATTCATTCATTACATTTTTTTTCCAAACATTATTTTACAAGCACCACCAACAACCACCGAAAAAAACCAATTAATCAATCGATCGATCGATAAATGATTGATGTGGTTATAAATTTTTTTTTTTTGGTAAAAACGAAAAAAAACCTATTAAAATTATCCAAATATCATTTCATTTCATGTAATGTTTGGTAATATTTTATAAACAAAATTAAAAGAAAAAAGTTAAATAAAATTGTATCAAAAGATACAAATCGAATGTTTTGATTTGCAAAAAAAATGATGTTCGCACGCTTGATTCTCCTCCTCTACCTTCTCCTCCTCCTCCTCCTCCCCATTCACTCAACACAAGTTTTTTCAGTTCACCCCTATGAAATAAATGTTAGAATGGAATATTCCAATTCTTTTCATTTACTCTGTGTGTGCTGCTGGACTGGACTAAAAGTAAGTTCGGTAGGATCATTGTGGAAACAGGTGTAGCATGTCGACCGGGCAAAAGAATCAAACGAGGGGGGAAAATATAAACATTCGAAAATTGATGAACGAGATTTTGTTTTTGTTTTTGTTTTCAAATTTTTTGGAATTTTGTTTGTACTTTTTCGGGTATCTGTTTTTTCTCTCTTTCTTCTTTTTGAATTTATTTGTTATTGAATGTTTTTTTTTCAAAAATAAATTCTAATAATTCTTTTTGTTTGATTGTTTAGAATTTCCTTTCGCCTCTGAAACTGGTTTATATAAATGAGTCGAATCATTTTTGTATCATCCATGAAAAGATGCGGCTATTTTCACATCGAATGATCCACAAATTCTGAATCATTTACTCAATTTTTTGTTGTTGTTATTGTTATTAGCATAAAAATGTCATTTATAACAAAGTCACAAATATTGATCTCAAATATTGGCCAACGAAAATTGTTAACAAATACAACAACAACAATAATACGAACATTTAGCTCAAAAAATGATTTATATCGTCAATTAATATTTGAAAAAGCATTTATTGATGGAAAATTTTGTCAATCTGAAAATGGTGAAAAATTTAATGTTTTAAATCCATCGAATGGTAAACTTATTGGAAATGTAGCCGATTGTACTGTAAATGATGTTAAACGTGCTGTTCAAGCTGCCAAACGTTCATTCAATGATCATTGGTCACAAACATTGGCCAAAGATCGTGCACAATTACTCAAACGTTTATTTACATTACAATTGGATAATACTGAACCATTAGCACAATTAATTACGGCTGAAATGGGTAAACCAATACGTGAATCACGTGGTGAAATAATGTATGGTGCTAGTTTTTTGGAATGGTTTGCTGAAGAAGCACGTCGTATTCATGGTGAAATATTACAAAGTCCATGGCCAGATAAACTTATTAGTTATCGAAAAGAACCATCAGGAACTGTTGCCATTATAACACCGGTATTTACTAAATTTAAAAATCGTTTGACAAAATAATTATTTTCATTTGATTTATTTTTAGTGGAATTTTCCAAACGCTATGGTTACAAGAAAAATGGCTGCAGCATTAGCAGCTGGTTGTACGGTAGTAATTAAACCACCCGAAGATACACCATTTTCCGTACTTGCATTAGCTGCCTTATCAATAAAAGCTGGCTTTCCACCCGGTGTCATTAATATTGTTCCAGTTTCTCGAAAGAATACGCAAAAAATCGGTTCATATCTATGTAATACATCGGATATATCAGTCATATCATTTACCGGTTCAACTCAGGTTGGTAAATGGCTGCTACAGAATAGTGCTAATACTGTTAAACGTGTTTGTCTGGAATTGGGTGGTGATGCACCATTCATCGTATTTGATTCGGCTGATATTGATAAAGCTGTACAAGGATGTATTGTTTCGAAATTTCGTAATGCCGGACAAACATGTGTATGTGCAAATCGTATATTTGTTCAGGATGCTATTCATGATCGATTTGTCGATTCATTAGCTAAACAAATGCAAAAAGAATTAATTGTTGGCGATGGATTTGATGAAAATACAACGATTGGACCATTGATCAATGGAAAAGCAATGGAAAAAGTTATGACTCATGTTGAAGATGCACAAAGTAAAGGCGCAAAAATATTGATCGGTGGTCATAAACATGAACAACAAGGTGGATATTTTTTTCAGCCAACATTGATAACCAATGCTAAATCGGACATGTTGATCGCACAAGAAGAAACATTCGGACCAATTGCAGCTATTTTCAGGTTTGAATCCTATCCATTATTTATAATCATTTTTATTGTATTGCATTTTTTTCTTAGATTCAAAACCGAAAATGATGTTATTCGAATGGCCAATGATTGTCGTCGTGGTTTAGCTGGTTATTTTTATTCACAAGATTATGCACAAATCGAAAGAATTACTAGACGTTTAGAAGTCGGTATGATTGGTATTAATGATGGAATATTATCCTGTTGTGAAGCACCATTTGGTGGTATCAAAGAATCTGGTCTTGGTCGTGAAGGTGGTACACATTTTGGTGTTGATGAATTTCTTAATGTTAAATATGTTTGTCATGGTGGAATGTTCTAATCAATAATTATAATAATTGCATATCATTAGTAATTAGTTAATATTGTTGTTTTTAAAACTTGTTGTTTTTCTCTCACAATATATTCCATGTTTTTCTTTTTCTTTGAATTTTGTGATTCTATAGAATTTAAATTTAAAAAAATTTGATTCCGTTATCTGTGAATAGATTTTTCACGTGATTTTCCAAATCGTTTATATTCTTTGATGTGTATCAATATTGACAACAACTACAGGTTGTTGGATTTTTCATTTTGTTTATGTGGCATTTCGGTAATTTGTTTATCATTTAGTCATTTTGTCTTCCATTTTCTTTGATATTCAATCAATCAATCAATCATGTTACAAAGTATTGAAAAAACATTCGATTCAGCTTTTTTTAATGCAAATCATAGCCTAAGATTTATGCAAAAATTTATTACACAAATTAATGATGGAATACTTGCTGAAGATCTTGGTGAACAATTAGGACAATTAATACAAAATGTTATTGAACAATTATCGGTATTGGCATTTTGTTTTGCACAACTTATGTGTAAAACAATTTTATTCTCTGAAAATTGTTATGTTATCAAGGTAAGTTTCAAAATATTGAGCTTTTTCATGATTTTGTTTTTTTTAATGATGTTTTGTTTAGGAACGTCAATCACGATTACAGATGGAAAATTTTCATCTTAAATCAGATAAATTATTGATGGATTTTTTTCGTAAAATTGTTCAAAATTTACCAATTGAAAATCGAAAAACAAATAGTTCAAATCGACAACAAAATCAATCTGATCGATTGAAACAACGAACAAAAAGAAAATCCAAAACAAAATCATCTAATGATGAACGAAATAAAACATCAATCAAAACTGATAATAATTTAATGATAGCTGATAATTTTGAAAATAATCTAATCTATAATCTGGAAAAAAATGATCGATTAAAAATTCGATTAAATCATCAACATCATTATTACAAGACGGATGCATTTCGTATGGTGTATCGAAATTTCAAAGAAACCGAATTGATTTCTAATTTACGTGCACAGAATATCGAACGACAACGTGAAATTGTTATGTTGGAAACAGAATTGGCCACATATCATCTAATGGTACGTTATCTAAATAATCAACTATCTGGCCGTATACAACAGATACAATTATTAACACGTGATCGAAAAGATTCAAATTTTGATCAAGTTTGGAATGATTTAGAATCAGAAATTTCATTGAATAAATTCAAAACCATATCGAATGCTCTCAATACTACTATTCCAAATGTTGAACATGGAATTCTAATGAATCTATTTCAGGTTCATAACAATCAAGATGAACAAAAAAAATCCGAAATCAAAGTTGATGATAATGATCAAACAAATGAAATGGAAAAACAAACCATAGTTCCAGTTGAAACAATTGGAAATGATGATAAAACGATATCGATTGAATGTAAAAATTTTCGTAAATCCTGGTATAATATCGGTCAATTTCGATTCATCATTATTGATTTGAATAATGAAGCATTAGGTATCAGTATAACCGGTGGTAAAGAATATGGTCTACCTATTTTGATATCGAAAATTCATCCAAACACACCGGCACACCGATCATCATCATTTATTACTGGTGATATAATTTTGAGTGTTAATTTTATCGATTTTACCGATCTGACTCATGATGAAGCAGCCGATTTACTTAAAAATCTGGTAATGTATTTTTATCAAATTAAATTGAATTTTTTTTCTAAAAAAAATCTGTTATTCCATAGTCTGGCCATTGTAGATTCGGTGTTATTTATCTAAAAATTGATGAAAAAGATGAAATGATTATGAAAAAATTTTCAAACAATTCAATTGGTGAAGATCAAAAACAAATATTTATTGATTATTATCGTTCAATATTTAATGCAACAGTCATATCACCATTTCAATTAAGTTCTTCATCATCGGATGATGATGATGATGAAAATAATGATGAAGATTATCCACAAATATCATCCATATCCATAAAAACCGATGATGATGATGATGATTGTGATTCGAACAAACCATTACACCAAAATATTGAAATTCAACCAAATCGATCGACAAAAAATGCTATACCAGGAATGGCAAAATTAATACAAATTATAAATGATGATTGAAAAGTTATTTATTTTTATTTTTTTTAATTAAAAATTTTGTAAGCTGATTATGGCACCTCATCATCATCTTAATTCACCATAAACCGGATTCAAAATCATCAACATTGTTTTTTTTGTTTTGTTTTTTTTTTGTTAATAAAATCATAATTTTCGTTTGTTTGATTCGAGTGTTTGATTTTCATATCGATTAAAATATATTTCGATAGCACGTTTAAATTTTCGCCGTGTTTGTTCATCGATCGATAATGTCGATGATGATGAATCCATTGATGATGATGATGATGATGGTGATGATTGTGATGATGATGATCCTGATGCTGATAATGGTAATGATTGAGAATTTTGATTAGATTCCATATTTTGTTGATTATCATCATTATCATTACCATTATTACCACCATTATTAATTTCAACAATATTGGTTAAATTTTTACCATGTACATGATGATCAATATGTTCAAAATGATCATTTTGGCCGGATACATTACCCATTGTTGCTGTTGTTGATTCACGTTGTGTTGTTGTTATTGTTAATGATGGCTGTAATATTGGTGATTCAGAACGAAAATGATATGGTTTACTTTCAATATTATAACAAAGATTATCAATCTCTTGACGACTAATAAAACAATCATTTTTACATTGATTTTGTGATAATGATTTTGGACTATCTAAATCTAATTCATTAACACTAATCTTACTACGTTCGGATAATATTGATTTGATTGTATGCATCTCTTTTTTTACTATATCCAATAATTGATGGCCAACAGTTTCGATTGTTTTACGTCCAATTTGATTTAAACCTTTATAAATTTGATCAAATTTTTGATTAATTTGTACACCTTGTTCTTGTACTTTTCGGCTAACAATTGTTGAATGATTACGTAATTCTCCTACTGAAATGGTCAATATTTTATATGCTTGATCATCTTGTCGCATCATATATTGTGATTGTGTATTCAGAATAACAGCAACCGAATTATTAATAGCTGTTGACATTTCTTTTAAACGTGTCATAATTGGATCACGAATATCATCAGTCATACCGGCCAATAAATTCAATGGTTTAACATAATTATTTAATCGTTTAAATTCTTCACGAATAATTTCTTTTGTTTCATTAGCAACATTTAATGTTTCAAATAAATATTGTTGTGATGTTTGTGATGAATGCCACATTTCCTGTACAATTTTAATGATTTTTGTTGCAAAATATTGTAATTTACTATCCAATTCTTCAAGTGTTAATTTTTTATTATGATGACCATTATGATCATTATTATTACCATTTGGTAGATTAATAATATCATCCATTTTATTATTTTCAATAGTTTCTTTTGTACGAATTTTTGTCTGTTGTTGTTGTTGTTTATCATTAGCCATCATCATTATTGATTCTGGATCTAAATCTTGTTGTTGTGAATTTCGTTTTTCGAGACGATCTCGATATGAATATTGTTGTTGTTGTTGTTGTTGTGAATGATAATTATGACCATATTGTTGATCATCATTACGAATAAAATCACCATTTTCTAATGATGTTAATAATTGTTTACAAATAATCAATTGATGTGCATCATCTGATTTGAATTTATTCTGTTTCCAACGTTGAAATATTGGTTCACATTGTGCAATTAATTCATCCCTTGTTATACTACTACGTCCATTATTTGTTATTATTGATTGTTCGGATGATGATGATGATAAATCCATTGATGATGTTCGATGATCTGATTCATGTATTTTATCCACCGGTTGTTGCAGTTGTTGTTGCTGTTCATTTGTTGTTTCCATATAAATCTTATCAAATTCAAATTTTTCTTGTTGTTGTTGATTTGTCCAATTCAAACCATTTTCAAATGATTCTTGTTGTTGTTGTTGTTGTTGTCCTGAATCATTCAATGTATCCGTTGATGATGTAATTGGTAAATTTTTTGATAAATAATTATCATCACCATTATTATTATTATTACGATTAAATCTTGGCTGTTGTGATGTTGTTACTTGTGGCTGATTATTATTATTATTATTATTAGTATTTGAACCAGATGATGATTCGGATGTTGATGAACCATGATTGTTATTCTGGTTATTATTGTTATAATCTTGTTTAAATAAATCGACCAATTTATGTTGATAATCAAATGTTTTACGGATTTTTGTTTCAAAATCATTCAATTTATTCTGTATATTCAATTCGATCATATTTAATTTTTCATTAACCAATAAAAATTTAGAAAATAAATCATTTGTTATAACTTTAAAATTTCTTTCAATCAAATCCAATTTATTAATAATCTGTTCATTACTGAATGTTACTTTATTTTCGGACTGTGATATCTAAAAATGATATAGAAAAACTATTTAGAATTTTTTTAAAATAATTAACATACCTTTGAAAGGATTTCTTCAACTTTCCAATTAATTGTTTTTTTCCATATTTCATCTTCAATAACAATATTTGAAAATTTATTTTCAATTGTTGATAATTTACTTTCAACTAAATTTTCCATACTTAAAAATTGTGTTTTCATCATATTCAAATAACTTGGAAATGTTGACGATGGTGAACTAAGACCATAATTATTCATTGAACGATGATAAATCATTTGATCTTGTAATTTTTGTAATCGTCCATCAATCGATATAAACATATCCGATATGGTTGCCGTATTTAAATGATTATTATTATTATTATTATTATTTATCACTGTTGATGATTCCGATGTTGACGATGCTGGCGATGATGATGATGATGATGATGATGATGGTGATTGTCCAGCCACCAATTGAGATGATGGTGATGATGATATAGTTGGATTTTTTATCGATTCTTGTCTTCGATTTACTGTTGATGATTCTGATGATGATGATGATGATGGTAAATGTAATTGTTGTTGATCATTCATTTGTAATAATGATTCATCTTGTATTCCATAATGTATATTTTGATTATCTAAACTTGTATTTAAAATATCTTGATCTTGATCATGATGAATAGATAATTCTATTTTTCCTGTATCTTGTACAAAAACAGTACTACCACCATTGCCACCGCCACTACCACCATTATTATTATTATTATTACCAACAACAGCCATACCTGAACGGCCAATATTATCACGATTAAATCGTTGTTGTTGTTGTTGTTGTTGAGAATAACCATTATATAATTGTGGATCTTTCAGTTGTGGGGGGGGAAATGTAAACATTTTTGATGTTATTTTTGGTTGTTGTTGTTGTTGTCACTTACCTTGTTGTTGTTGCGGCTGTAATTGTTGTTGATTTGTTAACGGTGTTTGTACAAGTCGATTCTGTAAAATTGTTGATATTGTTGGATTCAATGAAACAGTTGTTGTTGTTGTTGTTGTTGATGATGGTGATGATGTTGTCGATGATGATGATGATGATGTAACTAATCTTGATCGTTGTAAATAACTACCATATTTTGACATTATTTCATCCAAATCTCTTGGACGTACATGATCAATCAATGATAATGATAATGGTGATTGTTGTTGTTGTAATTGTATCGTTGATATTGATGATTGTGGTAATGATGATGATGTTGATGATGATGATGAAATCTGTGGAACAATAGATGCTATGATAAACATTGGATTCATTAAAATCAATATTATGGCCATTATTAAAATGGCCAACAAAACGATTCTAATGGCCATTTTAATGTAAAAACTGAACTTTTTTCTTGTCTTTTCTCTCAGATAAATGTCATATGCAAAACAAAATGAACGAAAAAAAACAAAACAAAACAGCTAAATCAAATAAATAAATAGCTAGTCACCATTGCTGTCATTATCATCTTTTGTTGTAACATTATGAAATCAACGGATTTAATTGTTGATTGATTGATTGATTGATTGATTCATCATATGTACCTTCTTCTTGAAATCATCATCCGTAAAAAAAACAAAAAACAAAAAGAAAAAGAAATTACTTTTACTTATTTTAAAAGGTTAATTAATTATAAAATTTTAATTTATAATAAAAAAAATGTGAACAAAATTGGTCGGTTGGTTGTGTTTGTGAATTGATTGTGAATTGATTGTGAGTTTGTAACGATGATGATGATGATGTGTATTCAAGCACAAAATGCACATACAGATGCACATCCATCCAAAATACAAATTCCTAATCAATCCTCCTTATTTTCATCATCATCATTGAACAACATTGCCTTTTTTCACTTAAGATCCCCTTATACAATTCTTATCAAATCATTATTATCGTTGAAAAGTAAGTAAAGAAATATAGAAGTTTCGAATAGATAAAAAAAGCTCGGAAACATTTTTTCATGATTTGCGCCAAAAAAACAACAACAACAAAATCTAAAATCTAAAATCAATCAAATTTTTTTTTGCATCCATCACCGCGATTAGAAAGTTTGATGATAACTGTTTTTTCTCATTGCATTTGGTTCTTATAACCAAAATATCGAAACATAAATAGAAACAGAAAATTTTATCTTCTTAAACCATAAACAACTGTGAAACAACAACAGCAGCAGTGATTCAAAAATTCAAAAATTCAAATTTTTTTTGTTTCTGGTTCATGGATTCAATCATCGCCGAAAAAAGAAACAAAACAAAGATATCGATGCTTGTCATTGCATTTATCGTTCAATAAGTTTTTGTGGAAAATTTTTCCCCCTTTCTTTCACTCGATGATTTTCTGAAGTTCATTGATTCATTAAATGGACAACATAGAACAGGATCAGAACCAAAACCAAAAAAAAACTTTGACCGTTTTCAATTTACAAAGCAACAACGACAACTATATTTATTTTGTCGAATCTCTGAATCAACTACCATCATTGAAATTTAATCATTTAAAGATAGGAAGTGTAAAGATAGGGAGAGAGAAAGAGAGAAAATTGTTAAATGCCCATCCATATCAAATATCCAGAAAATTGATTGATTGATTGATTGATTGATTCAAGGCATAAATCAATCAATCAATCAATTATAAAACTAATGAATGATAATTTTTGCCTCTGCTAAATTTCATAATTAATGAAATGAGAATTTTGAACAGAAAACAAAAACAAAATGATATGATTATCACATCATGTTGGTTTTTTCAAGAAATATTTCTTTAAAAAAAAACTCTTTTTTCCGGGAAAACTTCTCAAAAAGAAAAAAAAAGGAACTACAAAATTCATTTCCGAATCAATCGATATTTTTTTTCTCAACCGGTTTTTAATGATTTCAAATATATTTCATTTTTTTTTCTTTGTAAAATTTGTTCATTTTAAATTTTTTTTCAAAAAAAAAAATTATCGATTCTGTTTGCGATATCGTTTCCATGATGATGATAATAATGATTGAAAAAAGTGGTTTGAAGCAAAAAAAAACGGAACAAACAGAACTTATGATCAAAACTTTTTTCTTCTTTTCGAAACCCTGTACCCAGCCATAATTATCATTTTCCATCGAAAGAAATGTATATTTTAGTCACAAGAAAAATTGGAAGAAGTTTTTTTCAGGTTTTTTTCATTATTTTGTTGTTTTTTTCAGAATAAAATTCTGTATTTCAATCAGAAAACATGTATCCATGGCACACACAGTGCTTGAAAAAAAAAGTCAAAATAAGAATAATGGGGTAACAAAGAAAGAAAGAAACAGCAACAACAAAAGAAAAATCCATAAATCCTCTTCATCAAAAATTGACTGGTTATATTTTATTTCATTTTTTTCTTGGTTCTCATCATTACAAGTGGAAAATAACAACAACAACAACAACAACATTTGATTACCTTGACAACAACATTGAAATTAATGAAATGGGTAAAAAACAAAAAATTCAAACCAACATAATATGTACAATATTGATTTTTTTATTCTTTACAAAGTTATTTTGGAAAACAATGAAAGAATGAAAAAATTTCTCCTGAGAAACAGGAGAAAAATGAAGATAAAAGTTCATTTTGTTTCATGCATTCTTTAGTCAGGTTGACATTAAATATTATTTCGCTGATCTTGAAATTTCTTGAATCTCAAAGACATTTTTTATTCAGTTTGTTAAATTCTTAATCGGTCTAATTATAACAAAGAGTAAGAATAGTTTTTGTTTATATTTGATTTGATTTAAACTAAGCAAAAAACCCTGTTAACTATTTGATTTATATAGATGTTTTGGTTAACATTGTTGGCCATTTATACATTAAATGATTGGACAATTATTGGTGTTGATGGACGTTGTGGTTATCCAGAATTACCATATCAGGCACGTTTAATTGAAATTAATCATCATCAACAACATCAACATCATCATCAAAATGATCATAATCAAATAGCTCAACATTCAAATGAAGTTGGTGATAATGATGGTGATAGCGATGGTGATGATGATGTATTCAATAATTGGAATTATTTTGAAGAAAAACAATTTATGAAAGTTATTTGTCAAAAAGGACCAATTGGATTTGAACGTAAACTAAAAAATCAATCATCATCAATAATGTTGATTGATTCGCATGTATTGATACAATGTTCATTTAATCGTTGGAATATAAGTAAATTATTTTGTTTAGAAACAATGGATCCAAATAAATTTAATGTTACAAAATATCAATCAATTAATAATAATATTGATACGGTTGTGATCGATAATGAACCGGTTAATTTTATGTTTAATCCACATCCATTTAAATCATCAAATAATGATATTGATAATGAATCGAAAAAACCAAAATGTATAGAATTTAATGCAAATAATACTCGTCCAAATGAAATGATTGAATTTCGTGTGAATTTTATTGAATTAAATCGTCAGAAAAGTTTCATACCAAGAATCATATTGATTATGCGTCATAATTCAATCAATATTGATCATCATCATCAACAACAACATAATGATTCAAAAATAGATAATGATGATGGTGTTGAAATTGAAGAACAACATAAACAACAATTTATTGATTTTGTACGATGGAATCAAAATGAATTCAATAATAATAATCATGATTCATCATCATTGAATAATACTCATTATTATCGATATAATAATGTTTCAAAACAACAACATCAACAACAACAACAATCAACAAATCATATGAATGAAAAGGAAAAAATACTTGTTACAAAATTTGCAAGATTAGCCGTATCAATACAATTGATTAAATCAAATATTGATTGTTATTTTAATGAAAATATTATTATTGGTAATCATATGATTAATAATATGTCAACAGAATTTCTAATGTTTGATTGTCCAATCGATTATGATCAATTGAATGATGATAATATTGATAATGATAATTCATTTCGTATTCGTATTAATATTGAACCAATTCATGTTAATGATAATGATAATAATCAAAAGCATTCAATTGATAAAATTGAAATCTGTGGATTTCAAGCATTTTCTATTGCCAATGAACAATGTGGACAGCCATCTATTCCTATTAATGGTCTGGTTACACAAATTCAACGTTCAAATGATCATTTGATTGCCCAATATACTTGTATACAAGGTTATCGTATTGCAAATATGAAAAATGAATTAAAAACTGGATTAAATTTTGATCATGATCATCAATCAAATAATAATGATCAAAAATTTCAAAATAATAAAAATAAAACTGATAAACATTTATCATCATCATCAATCGATAATGATATAATGGAACGAACATGTAATCCAAAAATACATAGATGGACACCAGATTTTAATGATGTACTTTGTGTACCAAAATATTGGTGCCGTAATCCACCACCAATGCCTGATGCGACAAAATTTTTATTTGAATATTCAAAATTAGATAATTTGAATCGTGCTGTTGCCGATCTATCAATGGCTACATTACGTTGTCTGATGGTAACACATAATGTTAAACCATATACTATATATCGATGTGATCGATCAGGTGAATGGATTAAAGTTGGTAAAGTTGCTAATTATACTGAACCGGAACCGGATTGTATACCATCTAAATATCGTACAGGTGTACCACCACCATCACCAAATGGACGTTATTATCGTGGCTATAGACGTTATTATTATCATTATTATCCACCACAATCATCAAGCAATATGAATACAGTATTATGGGGTCATAAATTAACTGATAATAAATATTTAACATATTATGGTGGTGCAGGTATTGTTATATTGTTTTTAGCATCATTCATCATTCTTATACATGTTAGACGTATGGCTAAAAAAATGTCAACACAAATGCGTGAACAAACCTATATGAGTATGGAAAAATCTAATAATGATGCATTTATGTCTATGGGTAGTGCTAATCAAATGGATACTAATCCACCTGATTATTATAGTGAAACAAATTTCTTTGATGCAAATACAATGTATTCAAGTGATTTACCACCACCGGCAACGCCAATATCAATGCCAGTTAATGGTAGTAGCGGTAGTAGTGGTGGTGGTGGTGTTGGTGGAAAATCAACTAAACATGATTTAAGCAGTAATTTTGATTCAATTAAATTTTAAATTTGAAACAAAATTGAAATGAATTGAAATGGGGAAAAACCAATTTCGGTGAAAAAACTATTGAAACATTCAGCTAAAACAGACCAAAGATTTATTTAAATTAACCAAAATTTTAGAATTGCACCTTGTTTGTTTGTTTGTTTGATTTAATCATGTAGTTTAATAGTATGTAGATTATCATCCACTTACACACACACACACACACACCAACAGACACAAAACATTATTGCTAAATTTTAAAAATAAATAAAAATAAATTTTAGTTTAAACAAAACCAAATCAATTTTATTGAAGTAAATTTTCTTTTTTTTGAAAAAATAATTTAACGAAAAAATAATTGAAACCATGTCGAATGACCATCAATAGATGGCAGATATTGCGCTGTTTTTCTTTTTTCTAAAAGTTTTTCTAAAAATTTCAATTTTTTTTGGAATTTTTAAAATTTCTGTGAATAAATTTGAATTTTTTCAAATTTCTTTTTCGTTTATCGTTTTTTCCATTCATTTATTCAGGTATTTGATTCACCGTGTTTCGTTTTCGTTTTTTGACGAAGAATTTTGATTTTTGCTTTCTTTTTTGTTGTTGTTGTTGTTGTAACCTCGGGCTCCTTTATCACCCAGAATATTAGAAATAGAAAAAACTTTGACAATTCTAGAAAAATTGACATTTTTTTGAAAAAAAACAGCAGCAAATGAAATGAAATAAATTGGAAATCATCATCATCAAAGATACCTTTACTGGAAACTTTTTTGGTTCATTGCTTCTACTACCACTAAGTTCATCCGGTTAATATCATATTTGTCATATTCTCTCTCTCTCTCTCTCTCTCTCTCTCTCTCTCTCNGAAAATCAACTAAACATGATTTAAGCAGTAATTTTGATTCAATTAAATTTTAAATTTGAAACAAAATTGAAATGGGGAAAAACCAATTTGATGAAAACAAAAAAAACTATTGAAACATTCAGCTAAAACAGACCAAAGATATTTAAATTAACCAAAATTTTAGAATTGCACCTTGTTTGTTTGTTTGTTTGATTTAATCATGTAGTTTCATAGTATGTAGTTTGTTTGATTTAATCATGTAGTTTCATAGTATGTAGATTCACATCCACTTACACACACACACCGACAGACACAATATTTAATTTTAAATAATAAATAAAAATAAATTTTAGTTTAAACAAAACCAAATCAATTTTATTGAAGCAAATTTTCTTTTTGTTTTTGAAAAAAAATTTATCGAAAAAATAATTGATACGATTTTGAATGACAATCACTAGATGGCAGATATTGCGTTGTTAAAAAAATTAGTTTTTTAAAATTTCAATTTTTTTTTTGAATTTTTAAAATTTCTCTGAATAAATTTGAAAACCCATTTTTTCAAATTTCTTTTTCGTTTATCGTTTTTTCATTTATTCATTTATTCAGGTATTTGGTTCACGATGTTTTGATTTTCGTTTTTTAACATTCGGTCTGATGACGAATAATTTTGATTTTTGCTTTCTTTTTTCTTGTTGTTATTGTTGTAACCTCGGGCGCCTTTATCACCCAGAATATTAGAAATAGAAAAAAACTTTGACAATTCTAGAAAAATTGACATTTTTAGAGAAAAAAAAACAGCAGCAAAAGAAATGAAATAAATTGGAAATCATCAACAAGATGATCATACCTTTACTGGAAACTTTTTGCATTGCTTCTACTACCACTAAGTTCATCCGGTTAATATCATATTTGTCATATTCTCTCTCTCTCCCTTACTCTTAAACTTATGACAATAACCGAGAATCCACTCCAAATACATCCGGTAAAATCATAAAGTAAGCTTCAACTTCTAGAAAGAAATGATGATAACCAAAAAAAGAAAAGAAGAAGAATATTCTCTCTCTTTTCTCAATTCCAAAGTCTAATAATATTGAGAAAAGAAAAAATATTGAAAATCAAAAGAATCAAAACCGTATTATAATAATAATAATAGTAACGAAAAAAAAAGTTTATATCCTAAGGGCAACCTGAATTTCAACCTGGATTCTATCATCATCATCATAAGCAAATAATCAAAATATTGAATTGGTTTCTTTTGAAATGATGATGATGATTTTGTTTCAAAAACTTTTGATTTTAAAATATTTTTCTCTTTTCGGAAAAAAGTTTTCCGGAACCAAAAAAACCTGAAGAAACAATTGATGAATCATAAGGTTTCATTAGGTTTTTTGTTTTCTGGTTCCTAAATTCTATTGCATGTTTGCAAAAAAAAAGGTTAAATATGATGACAATAAAAACATCATAAAAGCTGTCATTTTCCTAAAAAAACAAACATAAAAATATCTTATGTGGAATCAAATGAGAAACAAAATAGAAATGATGGATAAGTATGTCTTTGTTTTTTGTTATTTTCACCCTAAAAATAATCATAATAAATCAATCAATTAAACAATAACAGATTGAAATCCACAAAAAAAAGGTACTTGGACTGAGAAAAAGAAAAGAAAACAGAATTAACCGAAAATAGGTCAATAATTTTTGGCAAAAAAAGTTTTCAAGTTGAAAATTTTTATAGTTTTTTTTAACTCGTTTTAAATGGAAAAATTTTTTCAAATGGTCAAGTGGTACACTTGAACCAAAAAATAAAAAAATGACCAGGATATGAAAACAATCAAATGAATGATCAAACAAATGACAGCCAAAAGATTGAACAAAAAAAGGTCTGGTTGGTCATTTCATGTCATTCGTCGATATTGACATTTGTGTTGGTGTTGGTGGTGGTGGGTTATGTTTGATTTATTGAATGATGATCTAAAACCCAACAAAAAAAAAGGAATCAGAACTTGTTATTTACCTCATTATTTTTTGTTTTGTTTACCAAATTTTTGATTTTTCTCACGAAAAAAAACAACATGTTTTTCCTCTCGTGTTATGTTGTTGTTGTTTTTTTTCTCAAATGGTGCATACTTATTATGTTTTGTTTTTTTTCAAAAACAAAACAAAACTATCACCACCCAATTGAAAAATTTTTTCGGATAAAATATATTACTGGTTTCTATGGAATTTTTTTTTTGAAAATGACCAGAACTGGCCCAACTCTCTTCCATTGTTTGCTATTATAATGGCCTAGAATCATCAACAAATATTGTTTATAGCCAAAATTTTTTTCCATCATCATCATCATTATTCGTTGAATTGACAATAAACAAACCATACAATTATCTAAGTTTTTTTTTTTTTTTTTTTTGGTTAATTTTGAAAAATTTTTAAAGAATTTTTTTTTTTTTTTTTCTTTCAAAATG